AGCCCTTCTCATTAGATTTTAGACATTGCAGGGAATAATGAGCTTTAAGCTCTGCAGCCACATGAAAAGGTGTGGGGAGAAATCAGGCAAGCTCCTGCAAAAGCAAGCCAATTACTCCTGAAAATGACAGTTGTTAATGGAAACTTAATATTGGCAGGAAGTTATAAAATTGAGACTATTATACCACTTTCCAAAGTGATATTCTTCACTGGAATATTTTTAAGAAAGGAAAGGTGAGTAATGTAACTTGTACAAAAAAGAAACCAGTGATCACTATGAAGCCATCTATCTACGCAAACGGACTAAGGCGGCGACAGGAATCACACTTCATATAGAGTGCACATGGAACGTCACCGAGGGCAGACACCAGGGGCCAACTTCCAGTTTATCTGCTGAGGAAAGTACCATGGCTTTAGGGGAAATAAAGCTCCTGGGAGCCACAGTGCTCAAGGAGGGTGACGGGCTGGCCTGGCGGCGCAGCAGTTAAGTTTGCACGTTCCACTTCAGCAGCCCGGGGTCTGCCAGTTCCGATCCCAGGTGTGGACCTACACACCACTTATCCAGCCATGCTGTGGCAGGTGTCCCACATATCAAGTAGAGGAAGATGGGCACGGATATTAGCTCAGGGCCAGTCTTCCTCAGCAAAAAGAAGAGGTTTGGCAGCATATGTTAGCTCAGGGCTAATCTTCCTCAAAGAAAAAAAAGGAGGTGGTTGACAACAGGGCAACAGGGGCTCAGAGCCTTTAGGATGCTCTGCTCAAAATCCCCTCTGCCACTGTCCATCAGCATAGCCAAAGGACACAGCCTTGAAGGGCACAAATGGCTGCACTTGCACAAAGCCACATCAGGAGAGCGATCCCCTCGAGGTGGGCGAGCACAGCCCCTAATCATATTAGACAAAAGGCACTCTACTCAGAAGCCTTTCTAGACAAAAAACATCAAAGGTGACTTTATCCACAACGTGAGGCAGAAGTCATATTAATCCCACAGTGACTCTTTTGGAAAATAGAAAGGAGAACACTTCCAAACTCACTTCATGTAGTCAGACGAACCCAAATGCCAAAACCTGACAAAGACATTACAAAAAAATTATAGATTATCAGCCCTCATGAACTTGAACACAGAAATCCTAAACAAAATAGCAAATTTAAACCAGTAATATGTAAAAAGAAAAAAAAAAGTGGATCATGAGTTAAGTGATGGAGTCCAGCATGTCAAGATTGGTTTAAAATCTTAAAGTTAACTTGTTTCACCACATTTAAAGAAAAATACGATTGCTGAGACACGTACAAAAATCATTTGACAAAACTCAACAGACGGAGGAGGCACTCTCAGCCTGAGAAAGGACAGCTGTGAAACCCAAGACAGGTAGCATCACCGACTCGAGAGATAGTGGAAACTTCCCCAGAGCCGGAACAAGGGAAAGAGGGCCATTGTCACGGTTTTTATTCAACATCATACTGGAGGTTCCAGTCAGTGCAGTAAGAAGAAAAAGAGAAATCAAAAGCACAAAGATCAGAAAGAAGCAAAGCGTCTTTAGTCGCAGATATGATTTTCTATCCAGAAAACCTAAGGAATCTGCAAGACAATCCCCACAACTAATAAGTGAATTTAGTAGATATTGCCATCTACTAAAGATAAGATCAACATACAAAAATGAACTGTTACATACCAGCAGCACTTATTTAAAAGTAAAAAAAAAGTTTTAAACTGATTTAGAATACCATCAAAATATTCTGAAATCAGATTTACAAAAGATGTGCAAGATCTCTCTGCTGGAAGCTACGAGACACTGCTGAGAAAAATTAAAGAAACCTAGACAAATGCAGAGATCGAACACAGTCAGAACCTGGAAAAGTCAATACTAAAAAGACATCAACCCTCTCAAAACTGATACAGAGAGTCAATGAACTCCCAATCAAAATCCCAATAAACATTTTTATAGAAACTGACACCTGGATTATAAAAGTAACACGGAAAATTAAAAGCCCTAGAAGCCAAAACAATTTTTGAATTTAAAAAAAACCCAAAAAGATGGAAGACTCATATTACCTTAATTCAAGACTTATCCTAAAGGTACGTAATCAAGTCAGCATGGTTCTAGCATAGAACAGATGGCTATCACTGGAACAAAACAGTCTCCAGACATACGACCCACACAGGTCAATCTGACAAAGGCACCAAGATGACTTGATGGAGAAAGGAATTTTTTTCCCCCCAAATGATGCTGAAATAAGTAACTGGAAAAAACTGATCACCTCACGAGGTAATTCAAGATGATCGATCATATGTCTAAACAGCTAAACAAAAAAGGCTAAAGTTATGAAGCTTTTAAAAGAATTTACGGGAAAATCTGTGAAATTACAGTAGGCAAATATTTCTTAAAGACACAAAAAATGGTAAACATAAGAAAACATTAAGTAAGACTTCCTCAAAAGAACTTCTACTCATTAAAAGACACTATTAGAAAAATAAAACACCAGACTGCAACTATGCGAAAATACTCACAATACATACATCTGATAAATGACTTGTAACCAGAACCATAAACTGATGATAAAACACAAGAGGACACCAATGAAAATTTGGCAGAAGACTCGTGGAGACTTCTCAGAATGAACTGGTCAACAAGGAATGGTCATAGAAATGGTCAACAAGACGTCCAAAACAAGTTATCAGGGAAGTGCAAACAAATCACAGGGAGAAACACTTCACACCTACACAATGGCTAAAACCGTAAAAACTAACACCCCAAGTATTGGTGAGAGGGCAGAGCAACTGCAACTCTCATAAGTTGCTGGTAGAAATGTAAAATCGTTCAACTTTGGGAAAAGTTTGGGCAATTTCTTATAAAGTTAAACACACATTTGCCATGCAATCCAGCAATTCCACACTTAGAAATTTACTCAAGAGAAATGAAAACATATGCCCACAAAGAGGCTTGAACACGAAGATTCACAGTAATTGTACTCATAGTAGCCAAAAACTGGACGACTCCAATGTCCACCAACAGCAGAATGGAGAAACAAACTGTGCCGTATTCACATAATAAACTGCTCAACACCAAGAATGAACTACTTACTGATACCCAGAGCATGGGCAAGCCTCAAAAACTCTGGTGAACAGAAAAATCCAATACAAAAAGAGTGGATGCTGTAAGCCTCCATTTATATAAAATTCAAGAACAAGCAAAATTAATCCATCATGATAGAAATCAGAACAGGATGCCAAGAGGGAGTGGAGGTTGACTAAAAGGGAGCCCAAGGGAACTTTCTGGAGTGTTCTGTATCTTGGTTTGGGTCGGTGGTTATACGATTGTACATATATGTCAAAACTCATTGTACACTTAAAATCTGAACTTCACTGTAATTTTTACCTTAATTTAAGGGATAAAATAAAAACTGTTAATTCTGAGAATTCATACAGGTAATTTTTATGCTATTCTGTAACTTTTAAATGCCCCTCCCCAAAATTAAACATATACACATAAAAATAAAGACTACTGGTTGCCCCTCAAAATCCATTTCCAAATTCTTCCCCATACACAGAATCCCTAATTCTAGCCAATACATGACAACCTACCACACCTTCCAGCTAGGGGTGGCCATATGACAGTTCTAGCCAAGGAGATGAAAGAGAAAATGTTAGACGCTGCTTCTGGAAAGGGAGGCGGTGTTCCCTCCACCTGTTGCTTGGAAGGGGAGCGTGGCAGCTCCGGCCCCGAGGTCTAGCCTGCAGCACAGGACCAGCGCCATGGCCTGGGGATGCAGAGGGGAAAGCCAGAAGGCGGCCACATTTCCATGGGCATTTAACTAAACATCTCTTATGATGCTTTTCTTTCCCTGTTTCTCCCCCAAAGTCACTTTTTTTAAACAAAAAAAAAATTCAACACATAATTTCTGTGATTTATTGTGCAACGGAACATGCTAAAAGACAAAATGACATTTTACCCTATAAATTATTTGGTGCCTGTGATTTCTGAACACTACAGCCAGATGGTTCTCATAGAACTAGAGAAGACTGTATTCATATAGTTCAAAGGTTTGCTTATTTTTTGGCCTTAAAAAAGACTATTGATTGTAACATGCAGCTCTACAGGAAAAATCTCGACAGTGGAGGCAAAAACTGGTATTTATTACTACACTTGTGCTCATTATGGCTGTCTCTGACAGGGGTCCATTAAAATCAATTTTTATGTTTCTTATGTATTTTCTTTATCCAATGTTCTTGGCATTGTGTTTATTAGCCAGTTAAGATGAACACTGTGCATAGGAGTGGGGTTTTTTTCTCTTCTGTCAGAAATAACGAGAACTGCAGTTTTAATACAACTACTCACAATCGATGACTGGAGGAAACTAAATGCTACATTTCAGAACAAAACATTGAGGAGTGCTTTAAAGTTTTTATGTTTTTACAATTAGAGAAATATAATGGAGATTGTTCAAACAGAGAGAAACTGAGTCCTGTTAGAATTGGCAATGCCCTAACGTCATGCTAAACACACACCAACGGTCCGACAACATCTCTAAGAGGGCCGAGGAGCTCCTGATTAAGCAGTTCCAGGACTTTAGTACGAAACTCACCTGACAGACTTCGAGGAACACTGAAGGCTGGTCCCAACTTAAAAATCAAGACTAAGCAAGCACTTCCCTCTCACTAAATTTCCAGAGAGATTCCCACCTCAAATTTCTTGAATCAAAATGTACACTGCTCAGGATCAATTACTCTGTACATGAATACATTAATGAAACGTCTTGGAGCTGCCAACCAAAGGTTATGCCCCTGTGGTTAATAGGAGGTGGGGGATTCTTGGGCAGCAAGCACAGAGGCTGACAAGTGGAAGAGTCATGGCGCAATCATTTTAGAGATGCTAACTTCTGTGAGTGGCAGCGGACGGCTGCGTGTTACCCTGTGATCAGTGGAAAACAAGCAGTAACCATATCAGCTCTTGCTGTTGTTTTGCACAAACATGGTGTAAGGTATCAAGGACTCTCACTCACTCAGTGTCGGCGCCCTTCCTGCCGTGCAGCTTTATCCCGTGCAGGCCCTGCTCACAACCAGAGAGCTCGATCTTCCCCAAAGGGCTGTCCATCATTTTGTATTTCATGTCACAGACTTTGTCCATTCTCCCAGGTACCTAGAGAGAAACAATTTGTAAAGCAAATAAGAAAGTATATGCAAAAGTTTGGTCACTTTTAAAGCGACAGCAGCCTTTTTTTTCGTTTGTTTCATTTTTAAAGGCAAGAGAAGCACCAGTTATTTAAGACATAAAAGACCTTCCGAAGTTTTTCCCCCATTTTTGGAATTTAATCATATAATGTGTCATTTTTACGCTCTAGCTACTCTGAAGACAGAATATTAGCATAATTACCTAGAGCACAGTACACTCTCCTTTTACTTCCTTAAGTTACTACCTCCCTACACTTCTCATTTGTCTTTAACCAATGCATAGTTGAAGGAAGCTGAAATAAGAGCTCCTTTTAAACAGTACCTAAAACTAAGCTAACCTTGCTTTAATAAAATAAAACAATTACGAGACAACTTTCTCAATGAAAACTGAAGACAAGCCACTTGCTATTTTGAATAGAGTATACTTAAAAATAAAGGATTATGAGGGGCCAGTCCCCTGGCCTACTGTTCAAGTTCAGTGCACTCCACTTCAGCGGCCTGGGTTCAGTCCCAGACGCGGACCTACACCACTTGTCAGTGGCCACGCTGTGGCAGCATCCCACATACAGAACAGAGGAAGATTGGCACAGATGTTAGCTCAGGGAAACTCTTCCTCAAGCAAAAAGGAGGAAGACTGGCAACAGATGTTAGCTCAGGGCGAATATTCCTCAGGAAAAAAACCCAAAAAATAAATAAAGCATTATGAAATAAACTACAGAAGTGGAGTGAGGTTCAACCCACACTCACACAACGGCACCTGTGTGTGCAGGGGGTCAGAGCAGCTTATGCATGTTGGAATAAAACTCTCATGCTTTGGAAAGCATACATATTTTATCTATATTCAGAGAAATGAACAAATGCTATCCTGTGATGTATCTTCCATGTTAATTTTGATAGATATTAACTCTGGTCAACATAGCAAAAGCAAAGAAACAACAGATGCACTAAGAGCCGTGAGGAGCCAGGAACGGGGTCCAGGCAAACCGACATTTTATAAAACTCCCTCTGACTCGGAGGAGGCAAGAAGACGGAAAATTGAGAGAGGGTTGTGCGTGCGACTACCTGAAGCAGAACAAGCCCTTCGAGATGCTCTCCTCCTCTCCCAGGGACTCCTTCTGGGGGCCCGCCGCAATTGAGAAGCGCCCCCTCCCTGACCTCACCCACCTCCTTTCCGGGAGTTCCACCTCCACCTACAACCACCGACTGCGACAGCAGGCACCTTCCCGTGCGAGATGGCCCTCCAAGCTCCTGACTCCAAAGGGCTCCTGCGTCCTAGGGGCACCTCAAACCGACTTGTCCCAACTATAATCCACGTTACCTCCTACATGTAGCGTTTCAGCGAACAGCACTACCATCCATCATGGCTCTTCCCCAGGAAGTCTCCTTGCCCGGCACCACCCTCGCCTGCGCCCTCACACACCGGCAGTGCACTAAGCGCTGGCTCTGATCCGTCTCAGTTCGCACTGCCACCCGCTCTTCCCAGAGACCCTCATCACCTCCCCCCTACCAGGAAGGACTCCCTCAGGGCCCTCCTTACAGCTGGGCTCTTCCCACGCCAAACTCCCCGCACCCAAACAAGACATCAACTGCTCACTGCACCAAGGGCTGCAGCAGTCAGCCCACCGCCTGCTGCTGTAAATAAAGTTTTACTGGGACGCAGCCATGCTCATTTGCTTGCATACCGGCTGTGGCTGCCTTCAGGCTCCAATGGCAGAGTTGATTAGCTGTGACAGGGACAACATGGCCCTGAAACACTTACCATGTGGCCCTCTACAGAAAAGGTCTCCCAGCCCTTCAAGGTCCACGTGCTCACATCCTTCCTACTTCAACCCCGAGTCCCTGGGCGCCCCTTGCATGCAGCACAGCTTCGAGTCTCTAGAACCTGACACCATGGTCCCCTCAATTGGACTGTCGTCATCTCCCGGCCTGTCCAGCCTGCACCATGGTGTCTGCTTCACTGTGACGCCTCAACACACCCACCATCGCCCCTGCCCCAGGTTCTCTTCCCTCCTCTGTGCCGTCCCCTGCTCCTACCACCACACACGGATTCCCTCCATCTTCCCCACAGCCACAGGAGAAAGGAACATTTACATCCCCAAGGAATATTCCTGAACCACACAGTGCGGAGGCCTCACTCCCAAGACTCCATTGTAAGCCCCCAGGCTCCAGAGCCGCCCCGTTCAACGTCTCCTCTTCTGTGCACACTGACAGGGGTCTGAAACGATTCCTCTGCAGTTCCCAGTGAGTGCACACGAGATTTTGCTGGGAAACCTGATCAGATGTTCACCTGACATCAGAGACGCCCTCCAATATATTACACTCCTTCAACATCCCACTCTCCAAGGCTCCCCACTGCCTGAGGGACAAAAACCCACAGAGTCTTCCCATCCCCTCCGCTTCACCGCGTGGGGGCAGGGATCACACTAGGCAGAGGGGGCACAGAGTGGCCCCCACCCATAGCCTGTCACTTGGAGAAAGTATCTAAACTCTGAGCCACAAGTGCTTCCATCTGGAGGTACATGATACCCCAATCGCAGGGTCAGCACAAGGATTAGCGAGAAAGTTCCAGGAAGGACGTGGGATCATGGTTATCCCTGCCACAATCGATTTTTTAACTATATACCCTTGGCCCTTAATCTTGTCATCCAGAATGCTCTGCTCTCCTCCCCAAAATTTTATCCAACAGCATAAAATCTTGACCATCCTTCAAGAGCGGATGGCCACCCCTTCTCCCAGCTCCAGGGGCCTTCCCTCATTTCTTAGAGCCAGAACCAACTGCTGTCCCCTAGCCCTCACGTCTGTGGACACTTCCCACCACACCGAGCTGCTGGCAGATGCCGGGGCAGGGAAACTGCTGCCACGAGCCAGGGTCCCACTGAGGGCAGGTGTATCACACACATAAAGGGCTTATCAATTGGATGAGTGAACTGGATGATCAGCGCGCCCACCATCCAGGCTGAGAGTCCAGCACAGCATGTCCCAAAGTGTGTTGCAGAAGACTCCTCGGAGAAGGGCCTGGGGACACAGTGAGAAGCCTGGATGCCCTCCACCCTCCAGGAAACCCACCCTGCACGTTAGCATGTGAAGGGCTCCAAGCAGTCTTATAGCAGAAGCCAGCTTACGTCTGTTTGCCTCACTCTCACAAACATGTTCACCGGGACCTGTGGCTCCTACCTAGCCCCTGCTCAGAAGCACTAGCCTCTGACAGGCTGAAGGCTGTTTCTCAGCATGTCCAAGCTCATACCTCAGACCTGGAGCAGGAGATGCCACGAGCCACCGTCTCAGGAAGGACTCCTAATGGAAGCATCAGAAACTGATACAGGCCAATCGAAGCACAAAATCAATTTACTGAAAAGCTGTTCCATAACTCAGAGAACTTCTGGGAAGCCTGGAGAAGCAGACTCAGAAAACCATAGGAACCAAGACTGGCCACAGTCCAACCACGGCCAAAATGGAAACTCAGGAAGCATCGGTGGGGACAACCAGGGACTGCAGGCATACAGGAACATTGATGCCACTGCTGCCCCTGGAAACAGGATGTTACAGCCACTGTCAATTCCCTGCTGCCCAGCCTCCGTGTCACTTGCCCCAACTCAAGGCCCAGGCAGGAGCCCAGAGCTGGCGCTGGGGCCAGGCTAGTGTGTGCTCTGCCAAGCAGCAGAGGAGGGCTTTGATCATACCAGCCCCCGCAAGAGGGCGTGGGCACAGCACCGCTGCAGAAATTCAGACTGGCACGCACCCCAACCAGGAGGACTGAACATTAGATGTCCACTCCTCTACCCCGGCCTCAATTTTCTCGTCAATAAAACAGGAATAATAAGACCGACTACCAAACTCACCACGCTGTTCTGGGAGCCCAAGTGGAGAATACAGGGAAAGCCGAGAATGGTCAGGGTGGCCAGGCGCTCCTGGGGAGAGGCCCTCCGTCCTGCACAGGACACACCCAACCCTCAGGCCTACTCCAAGGAACAGTGGGGGGCACTTCCAAGTGTGCAGAGGAGGGGTCAGGGGTAGGGCGATGGAGGTGGCTGAGGGCACAGGGGCACAAGGGTCTGCCTCTCAGATTCCCCGACACGGGAGCAAGGAGCAGGTCTGTGGAGAGCTCAGGCCCGCGGGCTCCTGGGAGATAAGGGCCTTGCAAATTACCAAGCATCGTCTGGCAGCTGGGCTCTGAAAAACAGACAGGATGGGCTGAGCTTCGGAGGCCATCAGCCTGGGATGCAGTGGGGAAGGGCTGCCAGCCAACCCTGATGAGGCCTGACCCAGAACGGCTGTCTCGGAACCAAATAAGGCCCAAGCACTGCAGCTCCTGCATTTGTGAACTGGACCAAAAGGACTCTGCAGCTTGGCCTGCCCACTGATGAACCCACCGTGCTGCCCCCATGACCAGCACCAGCGTGCGCCACACACCCAGCAACGTGGCATGGTCCCTGGTCAGCCTGCTCTAAACTCATGCCAAGGGGCAAGCTGTCCTCCTGGCATTAAGAACCAGTTCCACTGACCTCCACGCCTCCTGAATTCACAGGTCACCCTGAGTTAGTCACAAGGCAGGGAAGTTCCATCTGAATCATGCCAAGAACGCACAAAGGACAATCAGCCCATCACTGGGATAACCAGCGAGCTCAAACTCAGACTGAGTTCTAAGTTCTGACTGAGTGGCATACATGACTTCTGGCCACATCAAACCAGCTGGTCACTGAGTTGTGTGATGTCTGAGGAAGTGAGCTTCTCAGAGTTCCTTATCTGATGCCGAGAAATGAAATCGAATGCCACTTTGGCTTCCCTGAACGTGAGGATTTGCTGGGGCCACCTCCCCTAAGACTATGCCTGGTACCCACAGCCCAGCTCCTCTGGGCACGGTCTGGCAGGGCTGCACTTTCACTGGCACCTCTGGGATTTTTAAGCCCATTAGGTTTAAGCCCATCTACTAGTCAAAATAATCACCACAACCCAGTGACTGCTACTTTG